TCCTAACGCGTGCTATTCACACAAATAAGAGCAAATGCATTCTAGAAAACATTAATCTTCTTAAAACTATTCCCAAGTTTGCTTCTGACATATAGTATGCTGAAAGTCGAAAAAATGGTATGCAGATAGTATATTAGTATTCATATAAGTACTTCACTAGGGCATGAACTGCTCCCACTTAACGAATTTGCATGAAGATGAGGATTTAAAAAGCCTAAACTAAAATCCAGATAAATCTCTGCTCTCAATAAGTTGCGTGATCATTAGCATTTTATCTGTCATGTGTGATACATTAAAATTCGAACCACTTACCTACATGTCACTATCATTGTGATGATCAGTTTCCTGTTAGACACATGGTATTTCTCATGCGTGCGACAGTCACGCAACGCATAGTTGATGAGCCAGTCGTGAGTTTTGAGGGAAGTCATAAAAATGGAAATTGCTTAGCAGGCCAAAGATAAAAATCGCAAAGGCATACAGTCCCATCTACTTATATATTTGAAAATCCGGTTGTTAGATTCCACCGCACAAACGTTAACATTGGTGTAGGAATTCCAAAGTTCAACGGCTTCAAATATTTCCTAAAGTACATACACCTGTGCACAAGATGGCCAGCAATCAGTGCCTTAATTGATGTGGGTATGAGGGCACTGTAAAAACACTTCCGGAATGAGATTTCAAACTTCACTTTGTCAGGTTTTATGAACACAAATTGAGGTTCTCTACTGGAGTGTCATTTGCTCGAAAAGCAGTACAGATAGATTGAATAAAGCGAATGCACGATGTAGTACACGCTTGCTTCTTTCATAGCTTATAGAAAGGTTCCCCCATCAGCTTAAAGCAGCACTGAAGGAAGCGAAGTATGAGGGGAAGTAAATTGGTAAAAGACCTGCGAAACTCCTTGGATTGCTTTCAACAGTCAGGTAACATATCATAATCCCTGAAATACAAACACTAGATTATAAGATGGTGTAGCTGTCTTCGTGCAACAATGAGGACAGAATCTTTTCAGCAGGAGACGACAACCCCCTGGATATCGCTACAAACGCAAGTGACCAGAAGAGCTTCAAGAATACTCTCACGTTCCCGTTCAGCATAAAGGTCTCAAAAAGCCAACATTGCAGACTTGATGTTGATTTCTTAGGGTGGTAAAGAAAATAGGACAGGCCAGCATTCATCAAATCAGCAGTGACTATTGCTTTACCTATAAAATTAGGCCCAGCGATGGAAACATCAAAGATGTTTACTGCCCTACAACTGTCAAATCAAATGCGGCTCATGTTGAAGGCTTAGGCCGAAATACTAGATTACATACAGTGACCCTGAAAGCGGGCTGGGGCAGCCTACTTATAGTTCAACTGCATTTGCGAACGTTGTTGTTGTCGGTGTTATTACAATAGTTGTATAAGTCACTTTTGTTTCTTCATAAAAACCTTCCGTTGAATCAAAAGCAGATATCATCCGTCTTGTATCACACCGTTTTATGCACGGAAGCAATTTTCAAGCCATAACCTAGTGCTCGCCATTTTAATTTGTCTTAGTCCTTCAAATGCAAATTAGGGTGTAAGTGACGTTCAATGAAAAATCCAAGAAACCAATGGTTTATCTTCTCTTTGGGGTTTTGCTGGAAGACTAGTAATTCAGATTTACAGTAAAACCAAGAAAAGCACTGTTTACGGAGGCTGAGTGATTGGAAACTCGACTATAGTATCACCTTACCCAGATGAGCCCATTTAAAAACGACTTACTGCCCCTCATTGTGGATTGTGGACGATAGCTTTAGGCAAATGAAATTAATTTGTTTGACAAATAGTTTAAAATGCCAACCATGGATAGAAGAGGCGTTTGACATCTACGAAGGACACAAGATTACAGTGAGTTATAAAATTAAGATAAAATCTTGCTGAGTCATGAAGCAGAAACATTTTGCCTCATGTTAGACGTACACGATGGGCATAATCAGAGCTTCAGTTGAATGTAAATTACCTTTAGAGTGTGTGAAGGATGAGAATCTGTTGAATAATGCTTTCTATACGGTTGTTTTTATTTTTTGATTATGGCTTGAAACCACACTATATTTTTGGTACAAGTGTGGAATTTTCAGCATGTGATATCGGTAGTGCAAATTTTACAGGCCAACCATTGATATCAGGTGTGCGTCGGCAGGGAATCGAATTCCAAACCGTGTGAATGGTCGGCGGGAGTCCTAACCGCCGTGCTACCGACGCACAGTGTGTGTGACAACGAGAATTTCTGAAAGAAATAGAGGGAATCGATAGAAACGCAAAGGCGTATTTAGATGTGGTCAATGCATGTGTTACGTCCACCCTACTGTTAGTTGTACCATGTACAACGGAGACTTCGTTGTCATCGGATTTAATTTTGAAAATTATTCAAAATCAGGAGGCATTGGATTACTGCTTTGATCTGGTCTAAACTCTTTGGCAGAGTACACCTATCATTGTGGCAGGATTGGATTCACTGCATTTAGGCTACGAATGAAACTCACTTCATGTTTTCTAACTTATAAAGATTTTCCGATCTGTTTTGACCGTTAATTTGATTGTATTACTGCAACCAACTGGTTATCTGACGATAAACGAAACTGGGTTGATACTGGTCGCTCTATGCATATAACTGTCTGTCGGTATGACCAAGTAATCACTGTCCCTAGGAAATTATAGTATTCAGAGGAACTTAGCTCGAAGTTACTTCAGGATACAGAACCGTAATTCACCAGTACATCATTTTACTGGCCGGCAGTTGACTGTCATTCATATCCGAAAATGTGACTGAGAAAATTTAAATTTAGTGTGGCTAACGGACAGTAGATTTTTGACAGATGAGGTAGTTCGGGAGGTCACTAGATAGGCAATGAATTCTTGTCTATGGATGTGAGGCTATAGTTGTGTTCCCTATGACATGATCAAACTACAACTTACATGAAGTCGATTGTGGCTGATGATATTGGATGGTGATGGAATAATACCGCGAACCAACAAAAGTTGGAATACATGAAATACAGGATTCCACTGCAGTGTCTGAGTGTTAGTGAGTTTCCTTCGTAGCCTAAATGCATTGAATCCAGTCCTGCTAGATTGATAGGTGCAAGCTGCCAAAGAGTTGATACAATGCAAAAATGTATATTCAGATAAACCGAAAAGCTCAAATAATCAAACGATTTCCAGCTCTTCATCACCAAAAGTTATCGGGCAAAGTTAATAGATTACAAATGTCATTATAGTAGTCATGAATGGGTTTTCTTCCCAATGGCGACGGTTTACAGTTTACAATTTATTTAGGATAGTAGGCTAAATGCATGTGTTAATCCTTTCGATTTGTTACACACAAGAGGTCCAATCTCGCCTTGAATGAATCAACGGATGGTGCTGATACGACGTGTTCCCGTAGGGAGTTCCGGTGGTTCACAATTCGATGCGAGAAACGGATCTCCAGACGCAGACGATTCGACCGTGGTTTTTGAACCTTGAGGTGATGTCCTTGCAATTGGTTGGTGCTAGAAGGAAGAAATAAATTAGATAAATTAGCTCCAAAATCATTTCTTAGGATACGGTATGCTAGTATTAGGTCACCCCTAAGTCGTCTGTATGACAGTGGAAATAAACCCAGTCGACTTAACCTCTCCTCATATGAGAGGGTTGAGAAACCCTTTGTTAGCTTAGTTCCTACTCTTTGCACCCTTTCTAATAAGTCTATTTCGTATTTGAAAAACGGGCTCGCTGCCTGAATCCCATATTCCAAATGAGGTCTGATAGAAGTCGGATATAATATACGAAATATTTCAGCGTCAAAATTCGCGAAAGCCTTGCGTATGGCCCATAATATTCGAAAACCCTTAGTGGCTGCAGCTCTACAGTTTGTTGCTATTTTCAAGTCATGCTGCACAACCACTCCCAAGTCCTTGTACTCAGTGACCACTGGGAGAGTAATGCCATTCATTGAGTAATTGTGCACGTGACTATGAGATACATGCATAACTACACTCTTGCTTAAGTTAATCTCCAAGGCCCAGTGCTTACATCAATCACTTAACAAGTTTAAATCTTCCTGCAAAGCAAGTTGATTACTGTCATCGTGTAAAGCCCTCCATATCTTGATGTCATCAGCAAACAGTAAGCAGGATGACTTAACTACCGATGGAATCTCATTAACATAAATCAGGAAATGAAGTGGGCCTAGAATAGTGCCCTGAGGAACGCCACTCTTAACCGATTCCCATATTGATAAAACCCCGTTAACTCGTACTCTTTGTCTTGAATCCAGTCGGCAACCACTTTATTGATTCCCAGACTACCTAACTTTACTAGAAGACCTGAATGAGAAACCCTGTCAAACGCCTTGCTAAGGTCGATGAATATGGCATCCACCGGTATATTAGCATCAGCTGAGCTTGCCCAACTTTCTCTGGCCAAAAGAAGGTTGGTCAAGCAAGAATGATCTGCTCTAAAACCATGCTGTTTCATAGCGAAAAGTTTGTTCCCTTCAATGAACTGAATGATAGCATCACGAATTATTCTTTCTAGTAGTTTAACAACAATACTGGTCAAACTAACAGGATGATAGTTCTGAACTAAGTTTCTAGATCCGGTTTTGAAGACCGGACTAATGATGGCATCTTTGCAGTTCATTCTACTCCGGAATCCGACATTTATTGCGTTATCACTCCTTAACACTACTAAACACAAATGGTGAGAAGTTTAAAGCTATGAGTTCACTATATTCACGTCACTGATTGTCTTGGAGTAAAGTCTATAGGTCATCCAAAAGTAGGTTATATCTGTCAACTCAATCATTTGTCAAACGTTTGAGTCGGGAACTTCCATTGTTTGCCGCAAGTTAGTATGCATTTAAACTGAATTGCAAATCCCAGGGAATAATGTGAACATATTGACCCACCACAGTTACTTAGAAAAACTGGTGGGTAATTTCACTTGATGATATATTGAACATAACACAAATAGATTACCTTCCAATGACCCTGACAAGATATGCCACATATGAATGTCGGAAAGCGGAGATAGGATTTTGCTTCAGTTGAAACATAATGGTCAACCACTACAGGTCGACTCTCTGTCCGGTGATCATAGTGTGTCTGATCTTAAAAATGAAGTGTTTAAAATAACCAACATTCTTCCGGAAAATCAGAAAATCTTAGGCCTCCGTACAACAAACAGTGTGTCTGTATTCGCTTCTAATATTTTTTAATTTCGTAGATGAACCGGTAACAGACTCGACAAAATTGTCATGTCTTGTAATCAAGGCCAATACGAAATTAATGTTAATTGGATCAACTCAGGAAGCAATCGTAAATTCCTATGTTACAAACTAAATGTGGTATCAGCTTAAGGTTAACAGTGCTAAAGATAGCCCTGAGGTTGTCGATGACTTCGATTATAAAGAAGAAGACTTAGACCTATGCGATGTGTGAGTTCATCGAATTCGAGGTAAATTTTTAGTCCAGAGAATATTGAAAAAGTTGAGAAACGCTGTAAAGCTTATCGTCCTCGTAAATTAGCTGAATTTAGAGCTGGTAAAAATCTACTGGTTCTGGACATCGATTATACAATTTTCGGTGAGACTCTTTTTCATAATAACATTTTACTGGTCTTTCTTCAAACTGCTTCAGAGAGAGACTTGTGGAAACACTCACAGGGCCTTTCGATTTAGCCTGACTAGTTTATTCATGTGTTGGCTTTGTATTTTGAGCTTTCAGTACCTTACGGGGATTTAGTAACTACTTACTAACCACTCTACTGGGATCACAAGGGTGTTATTGTAAGGTAGATTTGTGCATAGTCAGTTGAATACACAAATGCTCCATATGACAATTTTGAAATTGCATTTTTCACTGTTGTATTCTTTGATAAAAGCAGTAGTTCATCTGTATTTATTTCCCGTTCCATATAAAAATTCTTCGAAGACTATATGTAGGCGCTGATCAACTTTCTGCCACAGGGAAGCTCGATGTGATAACAGGGGTGTTAATCTATCATATAATGATAAAATACAACCTCACTGGATTGTTATCTTGTATGACATGTCAAACTGCTTGCTTCAGAGTTACTTTTGAGTTTCAAAGGGAGTAAACTAAATGACCATATTAGAATTTTGATGTTAGGCCACACATGTTTGAAGGTAGTATAGGTCGTCCTCAGATTCCAGTTTTCTTTATTGCAATTATAATCCCGTGTGGCTCTTCTGTCGATATTAAAACATCTGTTATGGCTTATCAAAATATGCTTTATACCTCGATAAATTCGTGTTTATTATCAAAAATACACGCCACATATATTTGGTGCTAATTTTCTCCTCTTTTTATCCCGATAGATCACCTAACACCAGCTGAATCGGCACATCAATTAGCACGTCCGTATTTAATGGAGTTTTTAACACGTGCCTATGTACATTATGATATTGCAATATGGTCTGCTACAAATATGACATGGATCCTAGCGAAATTAAGTCAATTGGGTATTATTCCTATGCATATAGCTAAAACATTTCAACATCGAACTAGTCAAGTTGATAGCTCTAGTTCAACAGTTAGTAGTAGTGTACTGACTTCAGATGAGTGGATTGCAACTGGCAGATTATTTCAAATAGCTTTACTGCTTGACTCATCGGATATGATTAGTGTTAACTTTAATGAACGTGGTATCAAGGAAGTAAGTAAAAATGTTACTTTATTATTTTTTTGTAAAATTTTTAAATATCTCCTATAAGTGAATGGGGACTGGTTAAAACTGGTTCGTTTGTCAAGTTCATTTAGTTAGCTCCCAACAAAAGTTTCATAACTGATGTTTTATTTACTTTAAAAAGTCGTTTAATAGTTTGACCACCATGCGAAATTGTGCAGCTTATAATTTTGTAGTCATATCTTATGCAGGCTTATAGCTTACTGATCTGAGTTACTGAATTTCAGGTTAATTGGTTCGCGTTTAGTAGCTTGCGTTGAAATCCAGAAAGTACATTTCTACTTTCGCCTCATCAATGGGAATAACCTATGTTCAGTAAGCACTTTAAACACCTAAACATACTCCCCTCGGCTACGTAGAGGAAGCCGATGCACCTAACTACCAAATGTGGCGTAGAAAGAAGTGCCCATTCTTGATTCCACTTCTAGCTACAACACGGGAAAGAACATGAAATCCGTGTCTGCTGTAGGGATCCATATACTAACACAGACTGCTCATTTCAGCCCAATGAAACACTCGGCAGCATATCAAAATATCAGTAAAATGATTAACCCGTATACTCCTTTTTCTTTCACCTAAGGCAACCTAAAAGGTGCAGTCATAAACTTTCAGACAGTATGAATGATTGGTAGACTACTAAATTGTGTCTACGTGTAATTTCATACCATTCATTTTGTTACTTTGTCAGCTGTCCTATATCATGCTTCACCAGTGAATCCCGTTTAATAAAGGTCTCACTTTGTAAGGTACAATTTGATAGTGTAACGCAGTATGAACATAAGTTTACAAATGAAAATCCTATTTTCTGTTTCAGATTCTAAGCCACATAACATAGAGATGGGTAAATTTCCTGCGCAATGGAAGCATTATTTGTCGTATTCTAAATATTAAGTGATCTCATAGTGAACTTTGGGAAAACACATTAAAGCGAACAACAGTTTTCAATTCGATCTCATCAGGCTTAGCTCTGATACACATGACTTTACAACTACGCATTCAAATATAAACCAATCATGGTGTTTTGTCAAAAAGACAATAAGATTGCATTTAAATTGTGCAATTGCTAATAATAATAATAGTAGTAATAATTCTATCAATAACAAGGATAGAAAGGTGAGGTAATTTGTGATAGCAAGAATAACGAAAAACAGCATGAATAAACAAATAAATGTTCGGGTAGGAGTAGTCGATAGAGGCTAAGAAAAACAAATGGACCGATTAAGTAATGCTACTAGCATAGTTTTGAACCTACTTGGTTCGTCGTCCGATGATGGAATTAAGTCAGACATTTGTGAATACAAATTTTCAAACTGTATATCTCTGTCTAATTGACTAACTTTAGGATCATAGTCACTAAATTGAGGATCTAGAGATATTGGGGGTCGTTAAGATAAGTGAGTATTTATCCTAATTCTAAGAGTTTGGAAAGAAATGCATTTAGTCAGATTGATCCTGTCAAAAGCCTTATAAATGATTTCTAAAGGAACATATCACAAAGACAATTTTCAGTTTATGATTTACCTCAGGAATTACAGTCGATGTTTTCAGAATCTGTTAACAACGTAACAGTGAACAGAAGGAATAAAAACAGGATTAGTTTCGTCAAATTTCTTGAAAGCCAAAAGCTTGAAAAGAAATTTCCGTCAGTTCCGTACCGGTATATTCGCAACTTTTCCAAAGTTGTGCTTAACAGGTTGCAACTGGAGCCGTTATCTCTAGGTCCCAAATTTAGTGACTGTTATCCTAAAGTCAGTCAACTAGACAGAGATATACAGTTTGAAAATTTGTATTCGCAAATGTCTGACAACATCGGACAGCGAACTAACTAATAATAATAATTTGCTTTATTCCAGAACAGTACATGTAATACAGAATGGAATTCTCAGCATTTCATTACAGTATTGCATCCAGTTTGTACATTAACAATAAGTAAAATTCTACATAGATTATGGGTAGTCTCAGGTTCCAAACTACGTTAGTAGTTTTCTTGGTCTTTATCGACTACTTCCACCTGAACATTCGTTTGTTTATTCATGCTGTTTTTCGTTACTCTAGTTGTCACAGATTGCCTCACTTTTCCATCCTTGGTAATGATAGAATCATTATTATTATTATTATTACTATTGTTATGACTAATTGCACAATTTATATGTACAATCTTATTGTCCTATTGACAAAACACCGTGATTGGTTTATATTCGAATATTTATTTGTAAAGTTATGTATATTAGAGTTAAGCCTAATGAGATCGAATTGAAAACAGTATTGTTCTCTTGAAAGTGTCATTGTAGATAGCTATGCTTTCAGTTATGTCAATGTGATATATGTATGTATTTATATTCAGATATATTGGAGACTAGGTGGTAACTGTTGTCATGGATCTTATCCCTTGTTTGGTGCATACTGAATTCTATCAGTGGAGTTTGGATTGTGGTTGCCTCATCAGGTGGCTAATCATCACGGTTCACTCTGAGTTTTTATTCGTTATTATTATTATCATGTGATGGCATTAAAGGTTTTACTGGACTTCCCTTCCGTTCTTCTGTTGTCGTCGTGCAAGGTACGAAAATGAACTGTTGTATAATTTTCTGTGTGGCTCCTTCAACTTTAATATAGCTCTCTTGGAAGTTTCCACTAACCTTTCTGTCTGACTGTTGAACAAGTGGGGGGGATAAGGTCGCGTCCTCGCCTTCCTAACACCCTTTTATTGACACATTTGGAGCTCGTTTCCTTTTCTTCAGGGACGCACTAACCGTTTGTTCGTTTGAGAAAGGATATATACATGCACTGTTCAAAGGGATTTCCAACAGTTGTAGTTGTTTAAACCAGCCTAACCCCAGCAAATCCAGGTTTGAATTATTCACATATCGTGTTCCGATAAACCGGATCTCACGGAAACCGACATTGCATTTTAACTGCCCTGTGAGACGAAGTTTTCCACTTCATGCGCTGATTGCTATCTGATCTGCCTTCTCCATGGTAGGGAATCCCAATTTCTTCCATAACCTGTTAGATATTATCGTCATATCAGATACTGCATCTATTTGCAAACGTATCGGCTGTGAGTTGATTGTCTCCTCAATGTATATATGTTCGGTAGGAGTGCTGATATGATATAGGTAACTGTTGTACTCATAGCTTTCGGCATGGGATATCAATGGGGTCTGCTTTTGGACTTTGGTAGGTAAATCTTCTTACAGGAACCATCTCTATATCCAATAGTTTGGTTTCATCGGCATCTACTATATTTATATGGGCATGACTTTACAAAGTATCAAGCCCCACAGTGCCGAAATGCTGAAGACAGATTCTCCTGTGGACGATGCGGTGAGTTTGACGTTGATGATACTGGATGCATCGCATTTACTTCCTTTACATTGTGGCTGCCAGACTGGATCAAGGTGATATCTTCGCTCAGATTGGTTAATCGCTGCTATTCTTCTCCAATATATTTGAACGTCATTTCCGGGTCTTGTTCTATTCTGTTCAATAAGCGTGTTCGTATCTCAGCAGACTTGTAAGACCGCAAACGACAAATGAAGGTAGCATCTAACCATCTAATATATATATATAGTGTTTAAAAGCACTTTTTTTAAACATTTTAAACGTAATACACTTTTAAGTAGAAATCTTCATATACATCTATGTTTTTTGCTTAACTTGCTAGGTTAAACCATTAGCAGTCATTTGGAAAAATCATCCTCAATGGGGACCGCATAATACAATTATGTTCGATGATGTTCGTCGGAATTTTATTATGAATCCTCAGAGTGGATTAAGAGTGAGTTTTTTCGTTTATATCACAATTTAAAAAAAAGTAATAATATAGAAACAGTCATAAAAAAGTACAAAGTTCATATTGGTTTGTCACTAGGGTGTGCGGGGGGGGGGGAACCAGCGTCATGTGCGTAGTCTTTAGCGTTGATACTGACTGAATTCTACCACTGGCTACCTCCCCATTCCGCCCTAGTGGCCAATCAATATAAGCACTGCAGTCCTACAGGAGGTTAATCGTTGACCCTAATAGATCGGTGGTAACCTCTGTGACTACAGCGTTGAGTGACGCAGCTTTCAATCTTAGTTGGGTCTATCATTCTCTTCATAGTTGCTAGGTCGTCCTGTTGACTATTATCATTGCTATAACAAACAAGAGAGAACCAGGCAGGCTTTAAACCAGGAAGAGGGTTTATTGATCATGTCTTCAAACTTCAACAGATTCCGGAGCATAGGCATACTTGCCGGCGTCCAACAGTCATCATATTTCTCAACCTGGAAGCGGAATTCGATTCCTTCGATCGAGATGTACTATGAAAATGTTTGGCTGAGAAGGGAATACCAAGAAAATACACCTCACTGATCAAGGCACTCTACTCGAACTCATGAAGCCAAGTGAGAGCCTACGTAGATTTGTCATCTGAAGTGATGTCTGTCAGGGATGCCCACTATCCCCATAACTTATGTTTAATTCCGTCATAGATGGACTGACTTCAACTACTCGGGGATTGACTTGTTACCAGGGAATAAACTTATTGATTTAGAATATGCAGATGATATAGTCCTCCCTCCTAGGTGAAGACTCTGAAAAAATGCACAGTCTTCTGAACACCTTGAGGAGAAAGCAATCTTTGGTAATGGAGGTCTTTAGGTTAGGTAGTGTCTCTCTTTGTGCCTGAAGTTAGTACCGACTAGGAACGGATGATTACCTGGAAAGAACTGTAGAAGACGATCAGCATTGTCGGTTCGTCATTAGGGAACTCTGTAGGTACCACCAATATACGTCTCAGCCTGGCCTGACTTCCCTAGTTCGGCATTGAAGTCACCTGCTAAAACAATTATATCTGAGCGTCTTGTTTTTTGCAGCAAACTAGACAGTTTCTGGTAGAAATCATTCTTTAATTCATCCGAAATGCAGTCGGTTGAGGCGTAAGGGGAGATTATGGAAAGACAACCATGGGCAACGCCGTTCCTCCTCCTAATGGACCCGTTCGGACAGGCAGCACACATACAGCTATCTACCGGGATCCAGTCAAGGAGTGATTTTTCTACCCTTACACTGGATGCTTGTCCTCGCGAACTAGCTGAGAAATCTCCTGACGCCCGTAAGGTGAATTTTGCGAATTCACTTTATTGGCCAGGTGGGGTTAAGTGAGTAAGCATACTCGTGTCTTGTATGCGTGTCTCCGAAACATAGCATACATCCATGACTCGAATTGTTGGAGTTCTGTCTAGTGATGCCTGTCGTCCGATTTTGCAGAGGGTCTTGACGTTAAGTGCTCTAAATTAAGAGACTATCAGGGGTATTTTTCTGGCTCTCTTCTCTATTTATGGTCACAAAGTGAAAGGAAGATGACTGGCTAGTCTGCAGGGTAGTATTAGTAGGAGGAGGAGGACAAGATGATGACGGTGACGTAGCTAAAGGAGAATGATGATCAGGAGAGCTTCGTGTGCTTTTGGAAGTGGGCAGTTGTTAGTTCCTGGCTTCACACACCATTGGAGTTGATTTTTTCTTCGGATACCTGAAACAGAATGAGAATTAGTGCTACGTGACCTCAGAGCCGAAGGGACAACTGTTTGAGACCGGTTACACACAGCCTGTTTGAACTGGCTTTTAGGTTTGGTTCCATATTATAATAACTTACCGCCGGCTGTGGACCACCGTTGGGTAAGTTGGGATGTTCGATTTTCGTAGTCGATTTTTTCTAGCCCCTCTCCAGAGTGGAGAGATAGCCTAGCTGACAGGCTGGTCATCTGAGGGAAACGCCTTACTGCTATTGCATCCTTATTCCCCAGCAGTACTACTTTGCTCACAGACTCCCCAGCGTAGTGTAAAAAATCCTACACTATGCCGGTAACTACTTTTAGACTAATCGCTATCCTAACAATCTTCTTGGCATGGTAAGAGCTGCAGGAACATTGGTTCCAGCCAGTGTGGCCTGTTGGGCTATTGTGATGTGCATGTCCGACCACCACATCAAGGTAGTCGCTATCGGTCGGGATTTCATGCATCCCGATCACTTCAGTCTTTAAAACTTCATAACTGGTAGAAGGGATTTGCTAAGCAGCACCTTATATCTTACTTCACTATAGATCAATGTATGATGCCATGATATTCAATAAATGTTAGGATAATCCATATAATTTCCAGTTGTATGTTCCATATCTCAGCTATAAATCAGGAAACATAGAACTGTTTCTCGTTACCTATATTTTGGCCCCATAGGCAGCACTAGTTGGGAATATAAAATCTGATGGAGGATTTCATCATGATCTGACATCAGTTACAGAACCACTGGAAAACCTGGGAGTACTGGATAGCTGTTTCATCCTAGTTTGGGACTCTTCATCAGTATGCACCCACCGAGATTCGAAACCAGGACCTTCTGGTTACAAGGCGAGCTCGTAGACCATTCACCAGTCATTTGGGACCCGATCCAATGGCCAGCCCATGAATTCTAACTTCTGCCAATTCACGACATAGCGCGACCATTTCGCAATGTCTTCTTCGATGAGTTACTGCCTCGTCTTCAACCTGCTGTACCCTACTGGTCACGGCTTCCCACTAGAACCCCAGGTTAACTGCCTGAATAGGGCCAGTCACTAGTGAGCATCAGATTAATTTTCAAGTATTGGTTTTGTAGGGATTTTGTTTGATTGCACAGTACTCCCACGTTTTCCAGTGGTTCTCTAACTGATGTCAGCTCATGATGAAATCCTCCATGCAACCAAACAAAATTCCTACAAAACCATTACTTGATAATATAAAACCTATCATTTTGTATTATTTGTCGAGATTTCGTCTCTCTTAAATAGTCATCGTTTATCAATTTCCCGGGTCTGTAGTCTTTATCTGATCAGCATTTTGGCTGGCAAAAGTCGTTTAGTGAGAGAGTGCTTCACTTGATGCTGAAAGGAGATGCAATAGAAGAACTCTGACAGTGAACTGGTGAACACCCTATCGCCGAACAAATATGTGCACGAAAGTGGAGATGGATTAGACATACGTCGTGGAGATCTTCAAATAACATTACACACAGACCGTTGTGTAAACTACGAATGGGACGCGACAGGTTGGGTGTCCGAGGGCTGACATGGATGAGATCATGCGAACAGGACAGGAAGGTTTATTGGTAGTTTTGGAGCCGGTTGAAAGTAATCAGAGAGAACTGAGTAGATGAGAGATTTGCCACTGTCTGACCTTATGTCCCTATTTATTATTTATTTATTTAAACGCAGAAAAACTTGGTACAATATGGCACCAAGAAAGATGCGCCACACAATATTGTGTGAGGGCCGAGATACTGCCCGGGCGCCCAGACCGAAGCAGGTGGTTTTCCTAAGGGACCACCCCCCGAGCCTTTGACTTGGAGTCTAATCCGCAAGGCAGCGGAGCAGCGTCAGGAGCTGCGTTCCCATGGTTGCCGGTGACCCATATGGGTTCATACGCCATTTGATCCGATTGAATTCTGGAGCCCATGTACCCCATGGTTACTGCTTTTAGTCTAACCGCTATCCAGACAACCTTCCTGACATGGTAGGACCTGCAGGGACATGAGTCCCAGCCAGTTTAGCTTGTTGGGTCATTGCGGGACTCAAGAAATGAATATTATTATTAGTTGATGTACACTACACATATAGAGCTTCGTGTAATTCTTGTGAATAGTACTCTTCCAAGTGCTTCTATTGCTCTTCATACTTTTCTTTTTCGTCTAGATCCGTTCATATCGTGACGCCCATGTAAACTGTTCACGTGATCGTGAATTACTTCATTTAATTGATTATTTAGAATTAATCGCTCAACAGGAGAATGATTTCACTAAATTAAATCATAACAATTGGGAACATTATGTACATAAATATCGTAAACAATTGAAACTATTGAAAAGTCAACAGAAACACTTGAAACATCATGAAGAAAATAACACAATAACTGGTGGTGATCCATCACCTACTGTACAGTCAACTACTTCTTCCCTAACGTTGCCTTCTTATTCAACCTCTTCGCCTTTGTCTTCCTCCTCCTCCTCCTCATCAACATCATCGTCGACGATTTCTGTAAGCACGACGACGACGACTGTTGAATCTTCCCCTGTTGTTGACACTCCTGCTCCCTTATCACCATCTCATCGTCGTCTTACAGAAGATGTGTCTAATCCTGCTTCTTGTAGAATAATTACTTCTCCTCCTGCTCCTCCTTCTCCTTCTACAGTCACTTCCTCTCAGTCAGGCCAGAAACGTGCACACGATACCAGTAGCTGTTCAAATGAAGACGACAACATCAGTCATCACAATGATCATCATTCAACAGATAATGACAGTGAAATATGCGATGTTGCAGTGGAAAGTAGTGTAGTTGACTCGTCAAAGTCATTGCATAAAACAAGTTCTTCTTGAAAAAAAAATGCCATTCAGTAGAACTCATGTGTATATTGAAAGCGCTAATTAACACACAGTACTATTGTGACTATTATTATTATTACTGTTACCCTTAATTACTTTATCTATGCATCGATGGTTTTGAAAAAAAAATGCGCACCTATGAGAAAAAAGAAGAAAGAGTCATTTATATGTTGATAATTGAATCTTATTTCTTGTGTGCTGTTTAACACAGATTAATTGGGTTATAATACTACTACTGATAATAATAACAGCAATAATATTAGCATATGTTTTTATTTATTAAATTATTGCTTTTTATTTTGAGCTTGTGTTCTTTTGCTTTCAAATTTCTAGTTGGTGTCTGTGTAGATTCAGTTAGCAGGGATGGTTTGGGATCAATTTTTGTCTAGAACCTGGCTGGTTTGAGTCAAACTAGGTGCACCACCACTGCCAGTGAGCTCAACCTCCAAACGAGGGATACAGCCGGCCGGTGTTTAAGTTACTTCTCTCTGGCTAATAAGACCTACTGTTTGATGTGAGTGTTTTTAAACTACTCATAAATAATTAGTAGTATATTACCATCAAGCTAAAAAGTGATTTGGTTAGGGTATAGACATAGTTACTGGCTACTGGTATTGAAGCGTATTGAAGCACACTGCCTGTATGGGGGGGGGGGGGAACTTGGCTAAAATGCTGCTAGGTTGAAGGTGACTGACTGGATCATGATATCGATTCATGAAGTCGTCAAGTTGAATGTGAGGATGGATATTATTCACTTGTGATATTAGATATTAGATGACAGGAATTCAAAATCACAGGAGATGGGATTGTTATGTCAGTGTATGAGGCAGTCGATCATTGGGCTTCTACGTTGACTTGGTGGTGGTGAGGTAATGATCCAACGAGCTACACTATCTGGAACGAATGTTCCTTCTGGTCGTAACATGCCAAATTGGTCATTTGGGTAGCGGTTAGATTAGTATAAGTCACTCATGTTATGGTGGGGGTCTGAGGATGAACTCGGGCTGCTGGCAAACATGAATGTGCATTTTTTCAAATCGTGGAAAATACCCATCGGAACATTAGATTGAAAAGAACAAGAAGTTCAGCAAAGATATCTTCTCGGCGATTTCGTTCTCAAAAGCTGTACAATAGCATTTATTCAGATTAGTTTACATGGATAAAATTATTATTTGTTTAATTCCACATAGTAACGAAGGTGATAATAATTTTCAACTTGATATGAAAATTTGAAGGTACGAATACAGATTACAAGGGGCTTAGAGACAAGATTGCATAGGATTAGATAGCAGTTACAACGTATGCAAAATTAATATTTGATAACTGGAGAAATAATTTTAAAGGCGAATAAAAGGTGATGATTATTTTCAACTTGATATGAATTATACAGGGATAGAACGAATTACAGGTGTGAACAAAATGAGCATGGAAACAAAGTGAAATCAAAATTTTCAACTTGAAATGTAAGTTAGGAGGCATAGAAACAAAAAATTACACAGGACTAGTATATGATTGTAAAATGGTCATTCTAAACGGATTGCAAGTGTGATCAGGAGGAGCATGGAAACAAACTTAAAATAACTGATTTTATGACTGAAAAAAATGGGATGAATTGAATGAAGACAAAGAGAGAGAAATAGACACACAGAGAACAAAAAAACTGAAGGATAAGGGAACATACCAAACTAGGTCGATGGTAGTTGTAAAGGCTGGACTAGTTTCTTTTGAACACATAACTCCGGCTTTTCGATGCATATGGCGAGAGCTTCCGCATTACAAAGGAGTCGGAAACATACTGCCTTTGGTAGATTTTTGTTTACTTTGTAAATAACTCTAAATGATGAGTCAGTTGAGATTGTGTGACAGGTATTGACGAGGTGTTCAGTTATTGCGCTTCTGATTAAACCAGCGCCTCTTCTTTGCAGCCATGCTGGATGATGTTCTCTAACATGTTTTGATAAGACCCGCATAGAACGACCTATGTACTTAGCTCCGCAAGAGCAGGTGAACTGATATATGCACATTGAAGTGGTCATATGCGGAAGTCTGTCCTTCCCGTTTCTTCGAAGTAGTGGGCAGCTAGAGAATATCACTCTTAGAGTTGCTGCCGGAAAAGTCTTCTTCAAGGAATTGGAGATTCTCTTTTTAGAGATATCTGCTGCTAGGTCTTCCCTGAATTCCAGATTGAAAAAAGTGTTTTCTTTTGCACTGGTGTTTTCTTATCTTTTTGCCTTTGGTTTCATGTTCTTCTCCACGAAACGCGGTGGGCATCCATTTTGAACCAGGATGCTTTTGAAGAATAGGAGCTCCTCTTCTAAACAGTCATCGCTACAAACTCTTCTGGTACGGTGGCCTAGCGAGATGATGAGAGCTCTTTTACGGCTGATAGGTATCCAACTGTAAAAGTTTGTCAGTTGGCCATTCCATGTTGGTTTTCTATGGATAGATCTTTTCAGAGTTCCGTCATCTCTTCTTGTCAATTTGACGTCCAGGCTTTATAGCCATACTCAGCGGTGTGTCGCATTATTGGTGCATGGTGTTAAAAAGGCGATATGGTTGTATAGTAGTTATCTCTTCTTCCTGAAAGGTCTTGATGATTTTTCAGGAATCAATTAATTAATTTAATATTATTATACTCATCGAACTTGCACTCCATTTTATATTATTACTCTTTTGACACTCCAATCCAAAACTTAGAGGTATTTTTGTCACACTTCAGAGAAAGGTATCCTGTGTATCAGTTTCATGCCTTTTAATTCCTTATTTTCATGAATAAATATGTACGTCATACGCATGAATCGTCTTTGTCATGTGGTTGGTGCCGACTCTTATCTCCTCACGCTGTCTACTCCATGTCACTCTCACAACCATGCCCAATTCGTCGTTTCCCATTCGAGTCCCCCTCGAGGGGCTGGCTAGCAGTGCCACTCAACTGTCTCCTCAGTATGTGTCCAATCCATCTCCGTTTGATCAACCATAATCGTTTGGTAGTAAGTTTGTTTGTTGCCGGGGTCCTACCATTTCGTGATTTTAGCGTGATCACCATCGAATTGCATACTATCATGGAATTCAGGCATTCTTCCGACTACAGGTGATAGTACAAATGAGGATGTCAAAATCGGAATCGGTAGGACAAGACAGACCCTCACCACTCTGACAATAGCCTGGAAATCTGCTGGATTATTTTGAATGCCTACGGACTGTCCACAACATGGTCAGTGTCTAGTAGATGGCGTGCTTGTGGGCTATTTAGTCTCAGGTTCTTCGGTATGTGTTCAGAGATGTGGACAATAACTCTTCTCTCTGTTCTTTCAATGTATGTGCCTTGGTGCGTACGTACATGTAAATTGGTAGATACAGTTGGAGGGAAAATGAGGTGAGAGTTTGTCCACTTTTGACTGTCTTAAACAACTGGTCGTTTGGAAAACACATGTGAGCTTGGTGGCTGGATATAATCTTTTCAGGGCAGCTTTCAATCTGTCTCTTATTCTACTAGCAGTATCGTCAGCTTTGAAGGCAAGCTGTAGGAAGATGGGCTTTTTCTTTACTGTGTTGTACTTCACCTTGTTAACACTGAGTTTTTCATGTTTGTTGATGAACTTAATAATAATAATAATAGCTTTATTCCAAACAGTATTTGTGGTACAGGTATGGAATTTTCAGTGTGCATTACAATATTGCATCTAATTACCTCATAAATTTTATAAGATTTTAAAAATAAAAAGCAACACCAACAAAAAGAAAAAAGAGAAATAAAAGAAATAAAAAAGAATAGCATTGCATTCACATAATTAAACAATGCACCACAGGATATGAAATATAAAATTAGTGTGTAATGGAATATATGAGCAACAATATAATAGTAACACAGAAAGGAGAACAAAAGCTAATGGGAACTATTTGTTAGAGTGCCGCAGTAAGGTGATCGTGTCATGCCTAACAGTTTTCTCATCACATCACAGCTGTGCCAGATAATGTATTGTGGAGTTTTTATACTTGGTAGTCCTGGCATATAGCCTCCTATAGTTGCTTCTAGTTCTACCAGATGAAATACAAGGAGAGAGCTGCGTATAGAGAGGGTGTTCGGGGTCTGACAATATAGAATTCGCTAGTTTCTTACATAACGTTATGTGTCTATCCACAATAGTGTTAACCAGTTGGTTTAACGAAATCCCACTTCCCCTACTAACAGCTCTTAGTGCCCTACGCAGCAAAGCAAAGTCTTTCTTAAGTAGTCCAGGAAAGATTAATGGGGAGCAGTAAAGAGAGATGGTTAGAATACAAGAATTGATAAACTGAGAAAGCAAAGACTGCTTTATACCAGACTGCCTTAACTTCCTAACGTAGAACGTTAAGCGAAACATCTTTCTGGTAACTAGCAAGATGTGAGACCTTAGCGGCCTGCTTAAATCTTGGGCTACCAAATACCTTATTCATTACAAATCATTACTTCTGTGGGTAACAGTTATCACGCAGGTATTTTTCAACAGTGGATAGTTCTTCCTCGACTTTTTCTTGTGAATAAAGCTTCCTTACACGACCGAACAGTGTTCTCAACAAAAAAACATGGGCCCAGATTATCCTGGTACATTTGTCATGCTTACTTTATTTAAATTTGTTGTTGGGAAAAATTGTATGAAGTTTCCTGGAATAATCTGAGTGCTGAGTCACACTAAATCATTATGGCAAGTTTTGTCATGGTTTCTCTATTTACTAGTATTTCCCTATGTGGTTTACTTGATTTTATGAAATATGAACTTGAAAACAATCAGGAAGTATGAGCTAAATCTTCATTGTCAATAGAAGAAGTCATAAAATGCTTAAAACTTTGTTCAGAATCTATATATTTTACCTTTAAAGACAAACTATACTGTGAGACAAATGGAGTTGCAATGGATTCACCAGCATCTCCAATTTTAGCAAACCTGTATATGAAAGCTGTGGAAAGAAAAGCACTGACAAGTTTTAGTTGTCATCCTAGAATATGGTACAGATATGTAGATGACACATTTGTCATTATTAAGAAAGCTGAGAAAGAAAACTTGCTAACACAAATTAACTCAAAATGGGCAAAGGCCGTACTGTCAAACCCTCTACATCCCCTTTATTCACAACTATCCCCTTGTATCTCATCAGGTAGAACGAGAAGTCAATATAAAAAGTTATATGCCCGAACCACTAAGTACAAAAGTTCTACAATACCGTATTTAGCCCGTATTTTATGTGATGAAGACGCTGTTAGACGTGAAACATATAAGTTACTATGTA